TATCTCCCACTGCTTCTTTTACATGGTTGTTAAGCCACGGTGGCTCTTTTTTAGTTCTTTTACTGTGTTTTTTAATTTGGGGTATACATTTAAGCTGGGTCTCTATTATGGTGTCTTTGAAAAGTGTCCATGCAGCTTGCCAGGATTTCACTCTAGTCACTGTACCTTTTAATTTCTGTTTAACTAGCCCCCTCATTTTTGCATACTTCCCCTTTCTGAAATTAAATGCCTGCCAGTAATGGGTGATTTGGGGTTGTTACCCCAGGGCTGATTTCCGAGGAACCCCCTACAGCGCCCCCACTGACTGCCTACCCCTGAGCGAGGCCCCACCCCGCTCACCTGCACGCCCACCCTCGCCCCGGGCCAATATAAGGGGCGGAGGGAGCCGCCGCCCCCCCTACCCGCTCTGCCAGGGTCCTTCCTACCACGTGCCCTGGCCCAGCCCCGCCACAGGTAGGCTGCGGCACGGGACAGCTTCGCGGCGGCCAGGGGAGCCGACTCCCCCGCGGGCTGCCTCGCCCCTGGCTGGCGGGGGCTGCAGCGTGTCCCTCCAGCCCGGCCCCCGCACCGCACGGGCCATGCGGGCTGGTCAGCGCGGGACCCCCTGCGCCGGGCGGCTCCGGATCGCTGCGCGGGGGCTGGCAGGCGGAACTGGCGCCAGGCCGCCTCGCGGATGGGGGAGACACCGGAGTCACACCCGGGCTCCGGGACAGCCGGGCAGCGTGTGAACCCCGCGGCTCAGGCCGGGATCCCGGAGCCGCAGCCACTTACCTGCCGGGCGGGGAGGGGCCAGCGCGTTGGTGGCGAGCCTGGCCCGAGCCTGGGGGCGCCTCCGCTAGCACTAGCCGGGGGGGGGGGTCCCCTCACTCCACCCCCCGCCCCCGCCGGCTGCTGCGCGTCTCCGACCCTGCCTGTGTGGGGGGGGCTGCGAATCTCCCCCCCCCCGCGCTGCTGCCCTGGGACTCGGGGGGAGTCGCCCAGGGGCTGGCTACAGAGCACCCCGGGACGGGGCCAGAGCCCTGGGGCCCGGCTCGCTGGGCACGTCCCCCGCCCGGAGTCCCCGAGCCCTGCCGGGCGGGACAGCCCGTCTGCCCAGGGGTCCGCCACGGGCAGCGCG